GCTTGCTTGGCTCCCAGTCTTTGCCCTGCCCATAAACACCCCACCTGACATCTGGCTAACTCAGCTGCTGGCTCTTCCCATGGCCAGAAGATGGTTATCAAATGAAAAAACAAAAGCTGGGCAAGTCAAGGTACAAACCTGTTTGGTTGAACAAATAGATATTAAAGCCCTGTGCTAGGCACACACCCTACAGTGATTTTTGGTACAAAAATGTGCCTTGAAGAGCTCACAACCTGGGGAAAAAAACAAACAGCCAAAGTCAATAAAATGTGACAATGACAAGACAGAAGAATGCAAGGGCTACACTGGGAGGCAAGACGAGAGTCCCTATCTCCTGGAGGGACAGGAAGGCCTCATGGAGAAGATGCTGTGGGGTTAAGTTTGAAAGATGATGTGAGTCAGCAAGATACAGGAAGTTAAGAAATGTCACCAAAGAAAGGATTTTGAAGTCATTTGTTCTCAGTGTCTTATGATCAGTTCCCTGGGCAAGGACCCAGTGGGCACATTAACCAGTGCCCCGACTGAGGCACTTGGGCACTGGGAGGAGGGTTGATGGGCCCTGGAGGCAGCAGATGAAGGTACAGACATACGTCTGGAACCTGATGGGTTAACAAAAACAGATCTCAGACCGACTCCAGTTCTGGCACCAGGAGTGCCCGATCGAGTGCCCCCATCCATAGCGTTCCTGTCTCGTTCTCCTAAGCCAAGTGTCCCTGTCTCCTGGAACCTCAGACAAGCCCCTTCCAGGATTGTATTTTAAAGGGAAATGCAAATCACCTGGAGGCTGCTTTGTGCCTGGAAGAAGTAAAAATCGACTCTGTTTTCGTTAAAGTGATTTTTTGGACACTGTCAAAAGCTCTCATCTCAGAGCACAGGGTGACAGCTAGGCTGCCGATCTCAATTACGTAACTGAGCCGACCGGGCAGCAGAGGGCCATCTCATCAGGAGCAGACACGGCTCCACGCCATTCCCAAGCCCAATTCCCCTTCTCTAAGATACCCAAGAGGGACCCCATTCCATTCAGGCCTGGAACTGGCCTTCTACAACCCTTGTGGATGCCTGCTCACAAGGCTCTCCTTCCACATGCTCTCCTGGTCCCCACCTGAGTTGCCCTGAGGGACTGGCTGGGGCAGTCCAGGCCCACCGTGAGGCTAAGCAAAGTCAACCAAATGAAGAAGGGAAATCTGCTTTGAAAAGGTTTACGTCACATAATATACATTCTCCAACTAGTTACGTTGGTCTTATTGAATATTGGGAGTTCTATGTTATCCCTTCCCCTCTGCTAACTCAGATAATTGGGAATTTATTTTATTTATAGCATCAATTATGAATATGGAAATTAATCCTTGAATGCTGAATTTCCGGAATTCAACTGTCAAGGAAGCGCACGGAAAGTCTGGGCAGAGCTCCGGGGTCTCTCCCACCAGCACAAGAGGCTGTAAAGGAAAGCCACCCTCAAGCCCAGGTGGCAGTTTGGACTGTTATTGTTCTTGTGTGTTGAAGGAACGTGAGAACATTAAATAAATGGTAATCATTGGCTCCAGGAGATCCCTCCCTGGGGGATGCTAGTAACTCATTGGCAAAGTGCTGGAAAAGCAGGCAGAGATGGCAACGGAACTAGGAAGAGCCAGCGCCTCCCCTCAGCACATCAGCCCTCATCCTGTCAGCCAGCCCAGCTCTGCAAAGCAGCTGAAGACCGTCCCTCCACAAAAACGGAGCTTGGGAGAGGAGTGCAGTCTGGAGACAGGAAGAGGTAGGTGTCTGCTGGGAGGTGCTGGAAGCAGGGACACTCTGGCAGAGAACTGGTCCTTGATATCCAACGGCCACTTGAGGCTCAACTGCTAGTGCAGAGTCAGACAGAGATAGGCTTTTCCCAGTGGTTGAGAAAAGCTACAACTAGCCAGTGAACGTGCTCATGACAGGCACCAGCCAGGGGTGAGAAAAGGTTTCCCCAACCTGAGTCAGCAAGTCCTCTAGTAAGAACAGCATCTCCACAGTCCTGCAGAGCATCTCAGTGGACAGATCAAGTCACCAAGTAAAGGCCCCTCTCCCCTCTTCCTGGGAACCAAGGCTTGGATCTATACCCTTAAGAGAGAACAGATATGTCCAAAGGGGACTGAGGATAGCATCGGACCAAGTGAATGGAGCAAGAGCCCCATTTAACCCGACCCATCCATTAAAAAGCCTTTTGTCAAGCATCTGCTATGGAGAGTCAAGCAAAGGAGCCTGGTAACGGGGCCAACTGCCAACTTAGGTCAAAGTCAAAGTAGCCTGATCCAGCACTGAGCTCCACCAGCCAAGATGGAGGGGGGAAGAAGAGGCTGCTTTCTCGTAACGTATCTGAGTTTAAGGAAGACACTACTGAATGGTTTCCTTTCTTGCCCAAGTGGTTCTCCTCTCAGAAGTGAGACAGTTTAATGCATGGGGAAGGAAGACATACTTGTTTACTGTAGGTGTGGGGTGAGCAAACCCACAGGCCCAGGGTTGGGGAACTTCTCCCCGATGCAAGCATCCTTCTCTTCATTTTTCCCTTCACTCTTAGAGTCTGTCTGCTCACCCGTCTCCATCCTAAGAAAGTAAATAGGAAGCCAAGACTGTCCAGCCCTCATGCTAGACTTGCCCCTTGAACTATAGGGCAAATGCTAAAGGAAATTAGCTGTTTCTCTGGCAGCAGTAAAACACTGGATCTTGCTACGAAAGCAGCCTTTAATATCTAAAGCAGTACTTTAAACTGCCTAGAAAGAAATGTTTCATGTATAAAATTTCTGTGCCTGGTACAGTGCCTGAAATGCAGTACTCACTGAGCAGATGTTTTCTGGACTAGTAATATGACCTGAATAGAATATCATACCCTGAGGCCATCTAAAAAGGCAATAAACCTGAAGGTCTGATTTCTATCTCTGGGCCCTGGTGGATTGAGAACGAGTGGAGTGACAGAGTGAAAAAAAAGAATGGGCAGAAGGCCCTAGCTTTTGAAAATTAGCTCTGCCCTTTATCTGTGATTATGGGAAATTTACTTAACCTCTCTGAGTCTCACCTTTTGTATCTTTAGAGGGTATAGAATTATTCCTACTTAGCAGGACTATTGTGAAGACTCAGAGCTAATATATGCAAAGTGCTTAGCACAGTGCTGACACATAGTAGACACCCATATGTTGTTCTACTAATAATAAAAAGTAACGGGCAGGTGGCCAGTGAGGTTTCCATTGATGTCCTCTGAAATGATTTAATTTTAATTCTGACATCCATCAGTCTACTCAGGGTTTATTCCTATAAAAGTTTCTCCCTCTGTTGTCATGAGTCCTATCAAAAGAAACCTGAGGACACTGGGCAGTCAGGGCCATATCAGGAGAATACCTTGGGATCTGGGGTGTGTGTCCCTGGCCATGGGTGAGGTCCCCTTCAGGAAGGTGAAGGGATGGTCTAGTAGCCATAAAAGTGCCTCTTTCTCCTGACAGCAGTCAGCTTCCAGGCCCATTTTATACTTCAATATCCCAGTATGCCCAAAAGCTCACATCTACCACTTGAACCAGGAAAAACAAAGTCAAATAACCCCAAATTCTTACCCACCCCGGGCGAGCAGCTACTTGAAAAAGAGAATGTGTGTGTGTGTGTCTCTGTGTGTGTGTGTGTCTGTGTGTGTGTGTTGGAGTGGGAGGAAGGGGCAGGGAGGCTTCTGTTAGACACAGAGGTAAAGAGAATGTCCCAATTAAATGTGGCCTTCACAAATGGATTATGACACCCCTTGCTCCCCCCTTCCCCTCCCTTGTGGCAGAATGACAAATATAATCATTTTAAAAGGTCCCATCACCTGCTCAGTCATTCCCAATAAGCATACACAGCACTATGGAAAAACCGACACCACCGCCATGGGGTTCCCGCCAGGAAAAGAAATCAAATCACCAGGACGCCACCAATGGAATTGTCAAAGACCAAATAAAAAGTGTCATGAATTGTCCATCAGCAATATAACGCTCCCTGGCCTAAGCAAATATAGACCCAGCATATGAACTGTGGAGGGATTTTGCATTAGCCTCAATGGCTTCCGACGGCTGAAGCAGAAACCCCTATGAAATCCATGTCTCCATAAAGATGCCTTTATTGGCTCTCATCCAGTTAGGGTGAAGACTGTAATCTCCTTCCTGAGTCCCCTGCCTCTGATGCAAAGCTTCACATCCCTGCACCATAAGTACATTTCTGTGACCTCAGTGAAGAGGAGTCCTCCTAGAGTTGGAAGAGACAGAGTCCCCTGAGACCTCCCTGAGCACCTCTCCCTTCCTATGATGATGCTGCCGCTTCTGTCTGACCACGTGATCCATTCAGATGATCTCACTGCTACCAGGTGGGCCAGGTCATTCCATCATTGATTCAGGCTGAGAAAACAAGACTTTCCTCCTTTAATGAGAAAAGAGAAAACAGGTGCCTCACTTTTTAGGCAAAACCCCAGTTCAGGGTCACTTAGAGAAAGTCTGCTCAGAGCGACTGAACCCTTGATCATTTGTGGCGGCAGAGAAAAAAAAAAATAAGGCAAATGAGAAAACAGCTGGCAAATATACTAGGAAGAATCCAGAAAGAATGCTCTGGGTGTCTTCTGGGAAGGGAAATCTACACCTTCATTACCACATTCACTGAACTTCTCAGAGCCCTCTTCCTCCCCACGACAGCCCTTAGAGGCGCAGATGCTCCTCAGGATACAGCCATCAACTCCCCCAACCCCACATCACACACACACACACACACACACACATAATGCATGGCTGGCAAAAGAAATAGTGGCTTAATTTTCCACCTTTTATAAAACACATGCCCCACCCCCGAAAAGAATCAATTCAGAGCAGCTCACACGCCCAAACCAACCACTCATGTTCATTTTCCCTTGTGGTGATGCTCTCCGACTTGGATGAGGCACTCCCTGCTCCTCTCCCCAGGCCTGATACCAATCCAAAGCTTCACGGTCCACCCAACCTCCACCCTCGTGGAGTCTACCAGTGCTGACTTACCCCAGTGTGGTCATGGTGACAATGGTGTACCAAAAAGAGGCTGGGATGCTTGTGAACTTGCTGGCAGAGGAGCCCTTCTCGGCGTAAAACATCACAGTGGCAAAGATGATGATGGCCATGGTGAGGGAGAAGAGGAGAAAGCCCAGCTCCGAGGCGCAGCTCTTCAGGGTGTAGCCCAGGATCCGCAGGCCCTGGGAGTGGCGCGAGAACTTGAAGATCCTAAAGACGCGGAAGACCCGGAGCGTGACGAAGGCCCCGGACACGTCCTCGTTGTTGGTCATGACCAGGCCGATGTAGTAGGGCATGATGGCCACCACATCGATGATGCTCATCACGCTGCGGATGAAGCGGTAGCGGCTGGGCGCCGCGAAGAGCCGGAGGAGGTACTCCACCGTGAAGATCATGACACAGGCAGTGTCCAGGCAAAAGAAGGCCACCGAGTAGCGCTCTCCGCACGGCAGCTCCTTGCTGCCGGGGACCGTGCCACAAGGCACCGTCTCCACCACGTTGGTGATGACCGAGACAGCAATGAAGAAGCCAGTCACGTAGTAGAAGACCAGGGCCAGGGTGCTGGTGTGCGGGTTCTCGAAGGCGCGCCACATGGTCTGGCGGAAGCTGAGCGAGGGCATGGACTCCTGGTTGTTCTCGGAGTCGTTGTCGTCCATGAGCCGCTCGGCGTTCTCGCGCTTGCGGTCTTTGTACTCCTCGTAGCAGCAGTCGCCGATGATCTCGGGGAGGATGCCGTAGAAGGCCAGCTCGTCGTCGTAGGCGGAGATGCACTCGTAGCGCGGGTAGTGCAGCTTCCCCGTGCGGTAGAAGTTGAGCACGCAGCGGAACACTTCCGGGTCCCGGTCAAAGAAATACTCCTTGGTGTCCTCGTTGAAGAAGAATTCCTTCTCGGTGCTTCCCAGCAGCGTGTCCGGGTAGCGCTCCAACGTGGTCCTCCAGGTCTGGAACCGACGCCCGCTCACGTTGAGGACGATCAGCTCATCCTGTCGCTTGTTCTTGTCGGCCGGGGCTAGGGGCATGGGGCAGTTGGCCACGGGCATCCACCCAATGGCCGCAGCCCGGGCGAAAGGCAGCCAGGCTGCAACTCCAGCCGCCATGGTGACTCCAGCTCTTGGGCCGGGAACTGCGCGGACACGTTGCACACCAGCTTGGAGCTAGCTCGGCGACCCCTGGGAGACAGGAGAGAGCAGAGAGAGGAGGGCTGAGTCCATCTTGAGTCACCGGCAGGAAAAAGAACAGAGGAAAGGGTCACTGGTGGGTGAAACAGTCTCCAAGACGACTTGATAAAACGGAAACCATCACGGAGAGGGGACTTGATTTTTTTTTTTCAGTCCTCCCCACTTAGGGAGCACACCTAGCAGGGGGTGGGGCATGAGGGCGGGATCACCAGATGTGGCTGACTGACAAATTGTCAAGTTCCGAGAGGGCTCAGGAGCATTTGGAGGGAAAGCCTCTTTAGCAGGAAGATGTGGGAAGACTCGGGTAATAATCAGCTCTGAAAGGTTATGGCGTTATTACGAATTTAAATTGGGAGAGGGTAAATGAGTTCTCATTAAACGAATTTAAAAGTGGGATAAACATGCTAATTTTTATTTCACTTCATCCACCAGGGTAATCAGGAATGGGGTGTGGATGAGGGAGATCAACTAAATATATCCTTTCTACTCCTCCTCCCTGGGGGGGGGGGGGAGAGGCTGGGGCTACCCAGGTCTGGAAAATTCTCTGCCACCCACAGGTGACCACAGTAGGCCTAGCTTAGTGAAGCTCTGTCCTCATCCTCTGGGAGGAGTCTGTCTCTGACAGAATGTTACTTTTGGGGATACTTGGTCTTGCTTCTGTCCCTGTTAATTTAATGTCTAATTATGCCCCTAAGAACCCTGATGGAATGACATAGTTGTGAGGCTGGTCAGGATCTCTTGGATTCTTGGTTCACCTGGCTTCCATGTATTGTCCCTCTCCCTCCCCAGAGGAAGCTGATCTAAGCCCTGCCATCCCTATCCTATATTCCTTGCTTCCCATCTCCATCTGCCCAGCATCCATAGCTCCTTCTAGTTATATAACAATACTCCTTCCCAAGCCATCCTCTCTCACCTGGCCCTGCTCCACCCTTGGAGATTCCTCCAGAGCTGGGCCACTTTGTCCCTTCACCCACAGCTCTCTTTATTTCCCTATCACCTGCATGAATGGAGAGGACAGTGGCATGGAGAATTATATTTGGCTTTGGGAAGCACATTTACCTTCCCAAATCTGGCTTTTTAAAGATGATAGTGAAATGACTCTGCAATCCCCAAATGTACACCATCTGTAGGAAGACATGTGGTGACACAGAAACACACGTAACAGCGACGGAAAATTGTTTGGGGTTGGCACACTCATCTCCACTAATCCTAAACTGATCACACAGAACAAATCCTAACTCAAATTATTTGGATCCTCTGGAACTCACTTGATTTGACTCTGTGTTTAAATAAACGAGGCAGAGGTGAGTCCTGGAGTTTTTTCTGTTACACAAAGACTTGTAGTGGGATTTGATCTTCATTATTGCTCTCTAAAATCCTGCTTGATCTTCTGACTCCTGGCTCATCTAAGTTTCTCTTGCTCTGAGATGCTACTGGACACTTCCACCTGGATGCCTTTGAAAGTGGACAGGTTTACACTACCTCCTTGCAAAAAGGTGTCCTTTACCTTTTGCTTAGCATTCCTAACTCCAGGCCTGTCACCTGGCACATCTTTTTCATAGTCCCACCCCAAGAATTGACAAATAATGAAACAGCTGCTCTTAATGTCTTCGTGATGGCCCAGATTCCCTCCAGCCTCCTTCCCACTGGAATTCTTATCTCTCACTCTCACCCTCCACCTCATTTCTCCTGTCCCCCTGAAATCTATTCTACTCAGAGGATCCTCCCCAAAGCAAGGTTCCAATTGTGTTTTATCCCACAGCCTGTAAAATAAAATCCAAACTCCTTGGCCTGGCATTCCGGCATCTCCACAATGGATCCTGGATTAACATTCCAGCTGAACGGCCTATGCACCTATCCTGGCCTCCAGCAAAATGAGCACTAGCTCGTGAACGGACCTGGGGAAGGTTTGTCTCTAGGTCATTCATCCTTCTGTCAGGAGTATCCCTCCCCCTCACCCTGCCTATTAGAATCCTACCTGTTCATCATCTTCCCTGAGATGCCTCCTCATCTCCCCACTGTAAGATGCTTTCCTTCCTTTGGGCTCTCAGTATTTTGCCTCTCTACTTTAGTGCACACCACCCTCTGGCCAGGATTGCACCTTCTTTACATACATCTTATTAATAATAATAGCTAACAGCAATTTAACACCTATTCTATGCAAGCTTTGCACCATTTCCCATGGTTTGTGTCATTGAATCTTCACAGCAATCCTAGGAAGAAGAGTCTATCATGTCTCTTGCTTCATAGATAAGAAAAACTAAGGTTTACAGTTACAGAGCAGTCTAGCAATCCCCAAAGTGGCAGCACAGAGATTCCCTTGCCAGCAGTTTACTGAGCACTGATCATGCCAGGTACAGGACCCCATGCTTCCATGCCTCATCTCCATCTAGCCCATCAAAAGCCCTGTGTGCTACACACCCTCCTAGTCCTCATTTTGTGGATGAAGAAAAACAAGTATAAGGAGTTATAACAATTGTCTAAAGGATGTGATAAGGACGCAGAGAGCTTTAAACCCAGGCAGTCTCAATGCAGAGTTAAAAGTGCAGCCAGGCCACTCCCTGGCTCTCCCCAGCCCACACTAAGCTCTTTAAGGGCAAAGGCCATGACACCTCAACTTTTCCATCATAAGCCAGGAGAAGCACAGTGCAGTGCAGGAGTAGGCACTCAAGTTGGCACCATTTGTGGTCCATTGATTTTACTCTGTGCCTTGCTAATGTATTTCAGGGACATCAAGGATGGGTGTTCTTTCTCCAAAAGATAGTGGATTCTGAAGACAGAGCTGAATCAAAAGAACCCTAGAATTGAGTGTCTGCTTCTGACTCACTGTAGCCTCAGTCAAGTATCCTCAAGGAGCTGGAATCTGCCTCAATTATCCCCCCTGCACACCAAGGGAAATCTCACAGGTCCCTCTGCTCCCTAAAAAAGGGGGGGTTGATCCAGATGCTACAGAAGACAACAGCAAAGACAAGGATATTGCCCATAAGTGTCACCACTCAGAGAATAGAAAAACAGCACAGGCCTGATGGGATCTTGATTAGGGAAACCAAGAGATGCAAGGAATGAATGGGGATCTTTTATCCAAGACAGTGGGTAGCCCACATGCCACTAACAAAAGATGCAGGAACACATCCTGCATTGTCTATCTTTCTTCAATAAATTTACCCTCATAATGAAGGAACCATGCTTTTTTTTTTTTTTTTTTTTTGGACAGGAGATTTTACTGTCCCTCAGCACGCTTGGCTAATTTTCCAAGGGACCAGGGAGCTGCTGGGAAGCAAGCCCACAATCTAGACGTTGGTCACAGAGGTTCCAATTCTGACTTAGGTAATGTTTACTGAGCACTGACAATGCCCTGGGCACTGTGGGAGGCACTTTTCTACATAGCACTGAACTTTTTTCCACAAAAATCCTATGATGTTTCTGCCCATGGGAATCAGAAAATTTCCTTCAAAGTGACTAAGTTTCACGTATACAGGAATTGACAATTTTTAAATAGACCATTCATCAGCTCACTACCAAAAGGCTTTCCTGATCTAGGTATGGCCAAATACGACATTCCTGACAGACAAGGGCAGGATACAGAGACTCCCCTCCCTGCCTTCCCCAGGCAGCAGATAGCAAGGGCTCTGGAGAACTTGCATTCCTGTTTCAGTGCTATCCTGAACCTGTAAGCAAACCACTGTTACCCTCTGAGTCTCAGAGTCCTCATCTGTGAAATGAAAGAATGGGACAAGAAAATGACAGGGGATCCTTTGGTTCAAAAAATCTCCAATTCTACTGGATCCAGGACATCAGGAATGTAACTCTGGTCTCACTGAGACAGCCTCATGACAGCTGGCCGTGCAGAGCGGGAAGTAGAGCATCTGGGCTTGTTGCTGTGGGGATGCAATTAGCCTGAGCTTCGTCTCAGCAGAGGGAGTTCTGGGAATTACTGATGAGGCTGGTGCCCAGAACAGGGCACACAACCTGAGTCACTTGGAACCCAAGGCAACCCAAGGCCTGGTCTGACCACAGAACCCCTGGTCACTCACCTAGAAGGGGCCAGGCCTCAGACTCTGGGCCCTGAGCTTCTGACCCTTAACATCCTTGCTTTATCCCAGAATGGAGCTCAAAGAGGTAGGACCTGCAGAGGGGTCAAGTGACAAAAAGTAAGACTATTGAATCAGAAGATACCCTGTGGAACCCTGCTTGGCCAGCTGCATGGCTGTACACCCTGAGGGGATGATACCCTTTCCCTTCCATTCTCCAAGTTCAGCTCCGTCTGATTCCCAAGCCACAATGCCAGTACCTGTCTCTGCTAAACTGAGTCCCATCACCTTACTCTCTTAATCCCAAGCCAATTTCCTCTTTTCTAAAGGCCATGAGTATTTTATAAACTGCTTTTATATGGATAATTGAGAGCTCAGGGGAGGGCAAAAAATACCCCCCTCTGTATCTATCATAAAGTCTTTGGTCCAAGGCCAAACATTTACCCCATGAATTAATGCAGGACAATCTTCCTGAAGAAGGTCAAAAAAGTACCAGCCTATCTCTAGAGCCTCAGAATTTGTCCTCCTGGTTAAAGGTATTAAAAAAGAGCAATCATCCCATTGCTACTTTCTCTGTGTGTGTGCACACATGTGTGTACATGCACACATACATGGATGGGCATACACCTGGGTTTGGAAGGGAAGGACAGTGTCCCACCAGGTACCATGTCCAAAGCCACACCAACCATACCAGCATACAATCCTGCAGGCATGACCTGCTTGATCAGGGCTTTTCCATGGCGGCCACTGCACCACTCACTGCTGAAGGCACCAACACCTCCCAGAGCCAGCCTGGGTATGAATCCTGCAACAGGCACTACCGTGCGGCCCCATTTCCAGCCAATGGCACTGCACATGCCTCAAATGCCAAGGTTTTACTAGGACGTGGACGCTTTACAAATGAAAAATCTGAAGCTATTTTTGTTTTTGGCAGAAGAATTTGACAGTGGAAAAGA